ATGAGATTATTTAGAAACTAAAATTGTGGAAGTTGGTAGGGACACTGTAACACTTGTGGAAGTTGGTAGCGACACTGTAACACTTGTGGAAGTTGGTAGCGACACTGTAACACTTGTGGAAGTTGGTAGCGACACTGTAACACTTGTGGAAGCTGTTAGTGACACTGTAACACAGTTGGTAATGGTAGTGAAACATTCAGAAAACAAACCAAGTCATTAAAATGATAGGAAAATACTAGATTAAGATTTTACGTCCAAATACACTGATTTTTGGTTGAAAGTGGTGAATATAATATCGAATTTCAAGTGTTTCAGTGTGTTTCTGATTGTATTGTTTTTTTCTTTTCCAGTGAAAATCCCTTGAAAATATTGGCACACAATAACCTGATTGGTCGCATTATTGGCAAAAATGGCAACACTATCAAAGGAATAATGGAAAAAACAGACACTAAAATCACTGTTTCTAGGTAATGTAGTTTCATTTATCAGTTTCTTAGTAGAGTTAGGTTTTTATTTCTATCTGAAATTGTATTAATGGCAGAAAAGTTGTATAAAATGATTTATGAAACTGGTAATGCTGTAGTTTGTCTACTCCATAAAACAAGAAATCTCATTTTAAATGACTCCAAAAATTACTTGTGTGTGTAATCTTTATAAGAAAAATATTGGAAGTCATTTAGGAGTTAAATGAGCGAGTCATCTAACTTCTGTTTTGTAACAACTGAAACAAGTACATGATGAAAATGTTCAGTATTGCTGTATCAGTTGTGAGTAACAGTTAGATGTTAAAATAGCTCAATAAGTTAATCTGATATTAACTATATTTTAACACTACCTTTTGGTTCCTTAACGCCTTGAATTGTTCAGTGTTATCTAATGTTGTTGGGTTCTAACCTAGGCAACAGCAATTGGACTCAGCTACTTCTGTTGGTAGTTCTATTTGTGTTTCTTTAATAATATTACCTAGGTGTTTCAGAATCTTGTAGTTGGCTAAGCAGGTTGTTTTGCAGTTGTTGTAGGTCATTTCAATAGCTATACTTTAATTTCTGTCTCTGTTTTACTTCATGGTTACTTGAAGAACGGAGTAGAACATCCTCTCCCAATCATGTTATTTTTAAGTATTGTATTCGCTGTTAAAAACTACTGAAACTATAGTGTCTGCGGATATTTGTAATGAAAACTAAGATCCCAGATTCATTTCCCACAGTATCACTAAATACCTATACCATTTGTTAGTGGGGTTACATCTGTAGACATACAAGTAGGTTTAGTAACTTTGGGACTAAGTGTTAGGACTGGAGTAGAGGAGAACTAAAAACAAGGCCTTTGTGAGTACTTATTATCATCCCTAACAAAGCTTTGTTTTGTTCTTTCTTTAAGTTCTGTAGATAATATAGTGTGTGAAATCTTTACCATGGTATTACTGTTTTAGTTCTTCAAGTTTGGCTTCTCTTTTGAAGATTTAATTTTTTTCTGTTCCGCAGTAGCATCCATGACGTGAACAGCTTCAACATGGAGCGCATCATTACCGTTGTGGGCAAGTTGGAGAATGTTTGTAAGGCTGAGCAAATGATCAGCACAAAACTTCGTCAGAGCTATGAAAATGATCTTTCCGCTATGGCTCCCCAAGCATTCATGTTTCCCGGGGTCCACCCTATGGCAATGATGTCCACCATGGGGGCTCCCGGCTATCCTCCCGCTCCTCGTGGTGGACCATCTACACCTCCTTATGGTATTTATAACTCTTCTCCTTCCTACATGCCAGTAAACTACCCTCCAGGACCACCACCACCATCACAGCACCATGACCCGAACAAAGAACAGGTGTTTTTGTACATTCCTAATGCAGCTGTTGGTGCCATAATAGGCACCGGAGGCTCCAGCATCAGGGACATGATCAGTTCTTCTGGAGCAAGTATTAAGGCAAGTCTTTCTTGCTGCTGTGAAGGAACTTTTAATATATAAATAAAACTTAGACCTTTATTAAACCATTCCGTTTCACTCATGTCGTTATACTAGTCGTTAAGATGTGATAAATCTACTCATTTAACCTTTCATTCAGAAGCAGGAAAAATAAAAAAATATGATTAGTATATGAATAACAATTATCTGAAAAAAGAATTCCTTTCAAAATATTTATACATTTTTACAACAGCTTTAGCTGTAGCCAACTTTGGCAGTTAATGTTAGTTTCATATACATTACCCGGTAGGGACAATTAACACTCGTGGAAGCTGGTAGCGACACTGTAACACATCAACTTGTGAGGTGGATTGTTCCAAAACCTATAAATCAAGTATTTAAAGATCAACTTGTGAGGTGGATTGTTCCAAAACCTATAAATCAAAGTATTTGAAGATCAACTTGTGAGGTGGATTGTTCCAAAACCTATAAATCAAAGTACTTAAAGATCAACTTGTGAGGTGGATTGTTTCAAAACCTATAAATCAATGTATTTAAAGAACAACTTGTATGTGTAGAAGTGTGATGTTTACAGTATGAAAAAAATTGTTAGAACTATGACAGAAATTGTTAATTAAAATTTGAAAATTTAATTGCAAGTTTACGTACCGAGTAATGTGAATGTTATGTGACTGAATTCTTAAGGCATCATTATTCCACTATAGTAGAGTTCTAAACTTCAGAGCTGGGTTCCAATTTATGTGATTCCACAAAACATTCCCTGCACTCTTAAAGTTGTGGGTGCATTATAAGAGTGACACTCAGTCCCTCAGTGTGTGTGGCAGAGTGCTGTTGACTGGCTGCCTTCACTCTGGTCAGTAGCTCAAAATTAGTGATGATGACAGATAGCCTTAATATCTTTGACATTAGGTAGTTAAAAGATTAGGGACAAATGTCTTCACAGAGAAAGTTCTAACAAGATTATGAAATAAAGTTTCTTTACTGTGAGATGCAATATCTGTTGATCAATACACAATACTGGAAATAATAAACTAATAGAAATAGATAATCAATATGAATAAGGCTTTTACAGCATCTGGTAAAAATTGTTCATGTATTTATTGTAAACCTAGAAACTAGTTGTTGTTTTTTTAACTTTTGATTTCTTGAATAGCTTTTTTAATTTATTTACATTTCCTTTTATATTTTTCATGAAAACAAAAGAATCAAGTGAGAAAATTCAAATTAGTAAATTAATTTTTAATGTTTATTTGTTTTCTTTAAATTCAGGTAATTACTGTATACGGCAACCCAGAAAACTGTTCTTTAGCATGTGAAAAAATTTTGGAAGTAATGCGGCAAGAAGCTGAAAATACTAACCGCAGGTAAGAGTTATTAATATTATTTTTTAGGCCTGGTATGGCTTGACGGTTAGGGAGCTTGACTTGCAATCTGAGGGTCACAGGTTTGATTCTACGTCCCACCAAACATGCTTGCCCTTTCAGTCATGAGTGAGTTATAATGTGATGGTCAATCCCACTATTCCTTGGTAAAAGAGTAGCCTAAAAGTTGGGTGATGTTGACCAGCTGCCTTCCCTCTATCACTGCTAAATTAGGGATGGCTAGTGCAGATAGCCTTCATGTAGCTTTGTGTGAAATTCAAAACAAACCCTTTTTTTAATGGTGCTGAGTGGAAAATTTTTTGTGAATTTCAAGTTTACAAGGTTTTAAATTATATCAGAACTGTAATTTTGAAAGCAACACCGTGACTTATAAATGATTTCAGATCAGTCTTGCAGAATCATCGAGTCTGTATTTATTTATTTTTAGTGTGTATGATTTTAAAACTGAAAACTGTTGAAATTAGATACAAAACAACTTTCATACTGGGGACTTTTAACAAGTAAAATTATACATGAAATATTTTCAGTTGAAGTAGGAATTAGGGTTAAAATAATGTGACAAAAATTTAAGCTTTTCAAAAAAAATTTTACTTAATTAGTCATACTTAAGTTGAAGCATGGGTTGAAGTTTAGACTGGAACATATCACTCAGAAGTGTTAACTTTACCATGATGATGCTAACAACAGCACTGTTTTTGAAGCTGGTAGCGACACTGTAACACTTGTGGAAGCTGGTAGCGACACTGTAACACTTGTGGAAGCTGGTAGCGACACTGTAACACTTGTGGAAGCTGGTAGCGACACTGTAACACTTGTGGAAGCTATTCAAATACTTTGATTTATAGGTTTTGAAACAATCCACCTCACAAGTTGATCTTTAAGTACTTTGATTTATAGGTTTTGGAACAATCCACCTCAATACCTTAACAATTACATAGGTTCGTTAGGGTTCTAATACCTTAACACTTACTTAGGTTTGTTAGGGTTCTAATACCTTAACACTTACTTAGGTTTGTTAGGGTTCTAATACCTTAACACTTACTTAGGTTTGTTAGGGTT